TAACTGTGTAGTGGTTTTATTCTTCAGGATAGAGAACATTAGAAGGTCTGGGGGCAGGATATCTGAAGACCTTCATTTCAAACTTAGACATGGTGACCCTAAGGTAACTTTGAGACTTTCAACGGAACACATAAAGGAGGTATTTGGATGATGACACCATTAAAATAATTATTTTAAAAGAATAAAAGAAATTATTTCAAAAGAAAAGAATGGAAAACAATTATTTTCTAAAACTTGTTCTGTGATGTTCTATAGATGTCTCCACAGTAATCAAATACAAACACAGTTTTTAATTGTTACAGCTAGTTACCGGGGTGAATCATGATGAACTCAGAATGCCCAGTAGGACAAATTTGACTTCATCCTACAGGGAATTCTTTAGAATTATAGAGGGAATATCTTTCTTTCCTTTCCCCTTGTTTTTATAGAAGAAGTTTGGAGATAGATATCAACTCCATTCATTTTGTAGTTCCTGATGAAAGCCAGTGTGCCAGCAGTGACTGCCTCATTTCTGCATATTCTACTTACTTCAGGAAAACCAGCACTTTCCAGTGTTCCAGTGTTATGCAGGAACTGGGTAAGAGTGAAATAATTTCTATATTTTCTTTAACTTAAGATTTTGTAATTTGTCTTTAGATATGAAAAAATATCTATGTAAAATATGTAAGAAATTAAAATTCCAGTGAGACACAGATTTTTCTCAACCAGCCAGCAAAATCTGGACAGATTAGACACTGGCTTACTGTAAAAGAGACATTTATCACAAAATTGCATTCATAATATACTTTGATAGAAAAATTAAATAAATGGGAAAAATTAAAATAATCACAATAAAAATGATTTAACAGTTTCAAAATTTTTTATAATGCAGAGTTTAGAGCTGAGATACAGGTTCTGGCCAAGATGGAGGCATAGGTAGACACACTGTGCCTCCTTGCACAACCAAAATAAGGACAGCAAAGATTTGGAAACAAAATAACAACCAGTACTGACAGAAAATTGAACTGTGTGGAAGTCCAACAACCAAGGAGTTAAAGTTAAAGGAGTTCATCATCACCAAGCCCTTATTATATGAAATGTTAAAGGGACTTATCTAAGAAAAGATTAAAAACATGTACAGTAAAATGACAGCAAGCTGACAATTATTAACAACTGCACCTAAAACAAAAACAAACTAAGCAAACAACTAGAGCAGGAACAGAACCACAGAAATGGAGATACCATGGAGGGTTATCAACAGGGGAGTGGTAGGAGGAGAGATGGGGGACAGGTACAGAGAATAAGTAGCATAGATGATAGGTAGAAAATAGACAGGGGGTGGTAAGAATAATATGGGAAAGGTAGAAGCTAAAGAACTTATAAGTATGACACATAGACATTAACTAAAGGGGGAGAATGTGGGTGGGAGGGGGTGTGCAGGATGGAGGGGAGTGAAAGCGGGAAAATGGGACAACTGTAATAGCACAATCAATAAAACATATTAAAAAAAACTGAGCTACAGCTATGCATCTTGTATCTACATTATTTGTAATTTTGCAGAATGAAGATGATCTTACCTTTGAGTTCAGTGGCTGTCTGTAATACATAGATTTACAATTTCATAAAATAATTACAATGAAGGCTAAAGTCAGTAACATAACCTTTATATTATATATATACATAATATAAAATATATAGTCAGCAGAGTTTCCTTTACTCTAACATGGAGATATTTCTTTCATATAAGTCTTAAAGAAAAAATTCCCAAAGCTAGCTGCTTCTTTGTTTGAGGAATATCTATCATTCAATGGTTTGGATTTCAAAGAAAGCAAGGCCACTATATTCAGGACAAAATCTCCATCTCGAAAAAAATGACATCTTCTTAATATTTACATAGTCCCTTTTTCAGCAAATACACTCCAGTGAATCTTTTTAGGTGTATATATTAATAATAGATTCCCTGCAGTTATGTGTTTAGTAATTTAAATTTATTAAATTTTTTGTTTTTTAGCCTAGTGAAGATGAAGAATAACAGCTCATCTTTCTCCCCACTGATTAAACAAAGCTTGTTCTTTTAATGCATTCTCATTCAACATCTCTTGTACTGTGTCATAAGGTATGGCTATAAAATTTAAAAAATGGTTTTTAATTGCATAAGTTATTACTTATTTCAACTGTTATTATTGTCATAAATATATTTTTGTTTCCCTTTCAAGGAATATAGGAGGTTACACATTTGCCCCAAAATATCTGGAAAATTTTGTTCTGGATCTTATTTTAGAGATATTTATAAGTCATAGAAAAAAAATCTTACAACTTCATAAAAATATTAGATATTATATTCATAATGCCAGTAAAACTTTTAAACACCCTAGGAATAAATTTACCAAGAAAAGTACTGATACTATATGAGGAAAACTATAAATATGACTACTACAGTTGGGCCCTGACTTAAACAACTTCAAAATATCTTTTGACTAATTTTAAAAAATCATTTTTTCTCAATAGTCAAAAGGTCAACTATCAAATATTCATGTGGAAAATATCATTAAGAATTAAAGATCATTATGCTAAGTGAAATAAGTTAGGCTGAGAAAGACAAGTACTATTTTGTTTCATTTATATGTGAAATCTAAAAAAAACAAAACAAACAAACCAGACAGACTCATATATGGTTACCAGAAGGGAGGGGGTGGAGGGATGGTGAAAATAGGAAGGACAAGATAGTCAGTAATATTGTGGTAAGTTTGCACGGTGATATAGAATTAGTGGAATGATGATATTGTAAGGAGTAAAAATGCTGAGTCACTATATTGTATGCCTGAAACTAATATAACCAATATAATATTGTATACCAACTATACTTACATAAAAATTTAAAAAATATAAAGATCCAGAGGGGTGAGGGGAGGGAATTTCAGGGGAATTTCAGGGGAGAATGGGAAGGATTTACAGGAACAAGTATAAAAGACACATGGATAAAACCTAGGTGGGGAGGGATGGGTGGGTAGGCTGGGATGGGAGTAAAGGACAGAAAACTGTACTTGAACAATGATTAAAATAAAATTAAAAAATAAACACAATTAAAAATAAACACAATAAAAAATCATTATTGAATATTTTGAAAAATTTACAGATTATTCATTCCTAATTTTACAATATAATTTTCAGTGTCAATATTCCTTGTTAAAAGTAACAACAGCATTTTACTTATTTCTATTAATATATTGTAATAGTGACCATCCTTTTACATATTTTAAGCACACACATGCATATGGGCAGACACAGACATAAACACAGATGTACACACACACATATAACAAAATTGTAAAGGAGCATATGATATCTATTCTGTTTCTATCATAAACTTTGTGTGTGTAGGGGTGGTGGTGATAAAGAATCTCTCACCCTGGCTGGCATAGCTCAGTAGATTGAGTGCAGGCTGCAAACCAAAGCATCGCAGGTTCGATTCCCAGTCAAGGCACATGCCTGGGTTGCGGACCAGGTCCCCAGTAGGGGCCACATGAGCAGCAACCACAAATTGATGTCTCTCTCTCTCTCTTTCTCCCTCCCTTCTCGTCTCTAAAAATAAATAAATAATTTCTTTTTTTAAAAAGAATCTCTCTCCTCTGCTTCTACTATTCCTGCCACTACATCGACTGGTGAACAAGAAAACCAATATTAGCAACTTAATATATGATTCTACATCTTTATCTATGCTCATATCATCATATTTACTTATATTTATAAACAAAAATTTGAAAATTATAAAAGTAGGATGATAAAAATTAAAGTTCTCTATAATTTGATTCTCTCGCTTAATAATACATTGAGAATATCCTTCCATCATTAATTGGTAAAGCTCAAATACATTCCTTTTATGTTTGAATAATCACAGTAAGATTTTTCACAATTTATTCAACCATTTTATATTTATCTTTTCTTGTTTCCAGTTTCCACCCTCATAAACAATGCTTTATTAAATAATCTTTGTACTTTATTCTGTATATGAATGATATTATTTCTAGAATATATAGAGAGGTATAAGATGGTAGATCAAAGTTCATGTAAATTTCTAATTTTGGCAGAAAATGGGAGATTCAAAGGTTGTTATAATTTATATTTTACCAATTATATTAAAAGCACTTCTTTTCTTATTTTCCTGTCATCAGCAGATATTCTTTCTCATTTTGCTTATCTGATAAGTAAAAATTATGCATCAATTTAAATAATATTTCTAATTATTAAAGAGGATAAACATTGTTTCATATGCTTAGTGGTTGCATTAACTTACTCTCCTATAAATATGTCTTTTCATACTTTTTGCCCATTTGTTTCATTGCATTAACTTGTTTCCACCTAGTTGTAAGAGGTTGTGTATGTTTTATTTTTTAAAAGACTTTATTTATTTATTTTTAGAGGTGGGGAGAGAGGGAAAGAAACATCAATGTGTGGATGCTTCTCACGTGTCCCCCAATGGAGGCCCGGCCTGCAACCCAGGCATGTGCCTTGACTGGGAATCGAACCAGTGACCCTTTGGTTTATAAGCTGGCACTCAATCCACTGAGCCACACCAGTCAGGGCTGTGTATGTGTGTTTTATAATTAACCCTATTTATGCAAAATATATTACACATATTTTCCCAACACATTTGTGCTTTCTTTTTGTCTCTGCAATAAAAAATATGTGGTTATGCCTAAATTATTAGTCTATTTCTCTTCCATATGTAATGGTTTTGCAATTACATCTCTTCCACATGCAATAGTTTTTCACATGGTTTTAATATTGGCTCAAATATTGCCGATTATTTCAGTTATTTTCCAACGCTCGGGTCAGATACCTAAACACAGTGTTTGTAAACAGACTTACTGTTTTATAGGATGAAAGTTAAGCAATAAAAACCATTAATTAAATGAAAAACAATGCAAAAATATAATTTAATTTGCAAATAAAATACCACTACTTTGTGTTACCTTCAGTGATCATCTTTGTCATATATTTTCTCATTACAGTGATCAAGTGTGGATATGTCAAAAGGAAACAAGACTCTGGTGACGGAGTTTGTCCTCACAGGACTTACAGAGAGACCATGGCTGGAGGTCCTCCTCTTCCTCATGTTCTTAGTTATCTACCTCACCACCATGGTGGGCAACCTTGGACTGACAGCTCTTATTTGGAAGGATGCCCATCTTCACACACCCATGTACTTGTTCCTCGGTGGTTTAGCTTTTGCAGATGCTTGCACTTCAACTTCTGTAACTCCCAGGATGCTGGTCAATTTCTTAGACAAGACTGCAATGATATCCCTAGCTGAGTGCATCACCCAATTTTATTTTTTTGCTTCCAGCGCCACTACGGAATGTTTCCTACTGGTAGTTATGGCTTATGATCGCTATGTAGCCATATGTAATCCCTTGCTGTATCCAGTGGTGATGTCCAACAGACTCTGCACTAGGTTGATAAGCATGGCATATGCTATTGGTTTTATGCATCCTCTAGTTCACGTGAGCTTGTTATTAAGATTAACTTTCTGCAGGTCTAACATAATACATTATTTCTACTGTGAAATTTTACAACTGTTCAAAATTTCATGCAATGACCCATCCATTAATGCACTAATGATATTTATTTTTGCAGCTTTTATACAAATATCCACTTTAATGACCATTGTAATTTCTTATACTCGTGTGCTCTTTGACATTCTGAAAAAAAAGTCAGAAAAGGGCAGAAGCAAAGCCTTCTCCACGTGTAGTGCCCACCTGCTGTCTGTCTCACTGTACTATGGCACTCTCATCTTCATGTATGTGCGTCCTGCATCTGGCCTAGCTGAAGATCAGGACAAAATATATTCCCTGTTTTACACGATTATAATTCCCCTTCTAAACCCATTTATTTACAGCTTGAGAAATAAAGAAGTTATCAGTGCTTTGAGAAGAGTTGCAAAGAAGTAGACAGTTCCCAAGGAAAATTTCAAATTGTTTCTCTTTTTACCCTTAGCATAAAAACAAGTCCTCAAGTCGTGCAGATTAGCTGGGCTCTACCCTTTTACCAGGAGGCCAGTGGGCAGAGTGGCCACAGAGCACTGGGGGAAAGAACACAGCTTCACACAATGGTTTCTTGGATGTGGTTCCAGTTGAAGTTACAACTTCAGTTTTAGTGACTCACATCTTCCATAGTTGATTCATTTAAAAATAGTGTAATTCCTTTTTATTTGTACATTAGTTTTTGAAAGTTTGTTGTCTGCAAGGGACTACCACCCCAAATTTTATTTAACCATTGGCAATAACTGAGACTGGAATATAAATGTAGGTGGTTTATTTATCTAGAATTGGGCAAAAAGCTATCATAATCTTCAAAATTTATTGGGTTTGGAAGGTTATTTCCCTTTTTACATTTTGTGGATTTTGCACTTTAAAAATTTAGGTTTGTAATTTCTATATTTTATAGATGTTTTAAAAGAATCATATTTTTTAATTACATCTAACTTTCTTTGCTATTATTATCTAATTCTAGGGTGTCAAACTCATTTTCACCAGGGGCCACATCAGCCTCGAGGTTGCCTTCAAAGGGCCGAATGTAATTTTAGGACTGTATAACTGTAACTACTCCTTAACAGTTAATTGAGAGCTCAGTGCTGCTGCTGGGTAGAAACAAGGTGCTGGGCCAGATAAAATAAGGTGGAGGGCTGGATTTAGCCCGAGGACCTTGCGTTTGCCACCTGTGATCTAATTCATTAATTTTCCCTATCTTTAAATTTTTCCTTCTGCTTTCCTTTCTTATAATATTTTGTTTTCTTCTAGCTTTTATATTTAGAGTTGAATTCATTTACATTTAGTTCTTATTTGTTGCTGCCATTGTGCATATTAATATATTGTGATATTATGAATAGTCTTAATTGGCTGTTGAGTGTTTTACACATTCTTGGCTTTCTGCCTCTCTCTGTCATATGAGATTTCTATTTTAACATTCTGTAGGTCCAACATAAAACAGCATTCTACTGTGAAATCTTACTGTCATATAAAACTTCCAAACAGACGAGTCTATTAATGCATTAGTTCTTTTTATTTTCTTAGTATTTCCTCACTCTTATGAGTGACATTATTACTTACATGCATGTCTTCTTTGCAATACTGAAAAGGAATTATGGAAAAGGCAGAAGTAATGCCTTCTCCACAAGAGTGCCTATGCGCCCACTGTTCTCTGGTTCTAGTATAATGCTCTTTTCTTTTTTCAGATGTGTGAGTCTTGACTCTGGCCAGATGAAGTACAGGGCAAAATGAATTCTTTGTTATATATTATTGTAAATCTATAAATTATTGTAATCTATAAATTATTGCTAAGTCTCTTTTTACACAGCAAAAGAAACATATTTTAGATGGACTAATAAAATGATAAAATAATATATATTTCTTAAGTTAAATTTTCTTAATATTTTTTAAACATTCTATTTAAAAAATCACAGCACCTTATAGGTGTCTTGAACACTGATAATAATAAATTTTTATTGAAAAGTGGAAAAGATGCAAACTTTATATGAATTTACTACAACAATATGGTTGTAATTATTAAGACTTTAAGCACTCAACTAATATGTCAAGTGTATGATTTTTCACCTATAGTGAAGAGTAGAGGAATATTTCAGGTGTATCTACTAGTATATTACCACCTCAGTGGATAAACATTTGGTGAGTAAATACATGAAAGCTCTTGCTCCAATAATAGCCCTTTTTGAAAATTGTTTGAAGTACCTTTAAAGAAAGAGGCTTGTGCAAGTCTTTTGTAAATTTTCTATAAAACCAAACCACTTTTTCTTTTTCAAAAAAAGATTTTATTTATTTATTTTTACACAGAGGGGAAGGGAGGGAGAAAGAGAGGAAGAGAACAATGTGTGGTTGCCTATCATGCACCCCAGCTGGGGACCTGGCCTGCAACCCAGGCATGTGCCCTCACTGGGAGTCAAGCCAGCCACCCTTGGGTTCACAGGCTGTACTCAGTCCACTGAGCCTCACCAGACAGGGCCCAAACATTTTTTTCTATTTTATTATTCCTGAACAAGTTGCTTTGCAAAGTTTTATATACAAAATCATTTGTGATTAAATAATAAGTTTATATGTTTTAAAAATGAAAGTGACCATTAGTACCTTCTTCACGTGTTTACAGGTAATTACAGTCACTTTTAAACATAATTTTTGCCTTGTTCTGTGTGGTTCACCTGGTTGAAGCATCATCTTGTAAACTGAAACGTCACAGGTTGGATTCCCAGTTGGGGCACATACCTAGGTTGCAGGTTTGATCCCCAGTCAGGGAGAGTAGAGGCAACCAATTGATGTTTCTCTTCCTCTCTCTCTCCCTCCCTCCTTTTCTCTCTAAAATCAATAAGCATGTCCTTGAGTGAAGATAAAAAAATGAAAGTAATTTTAAGCAAGTTACCTCTCCTCTGACATTGAAATATTTGTCTAAATATATAGACAACTACTTAGACAAATATTTACCAATAATTTTCACAATAAACAGAAGTAAACATTTCTTATATGAATGAATTTCCATTTTATTCTGACATAATATCAATGAAAATTGTTATTACAGATACTGTGACTATAGAATGCATCTTTTAAGTAATTAGAAAACATCTGAAATTATTCAGTGTTTCCAAAAAATTCTAACATTGATGTCTCCTTTGAGAGAGACTGATTAAATTAAAACTGAAGCAGAAGGCTAAGAAAGGTCAGGAGATGAGCCTAGGATGTCCTGGGCTGGGGTGCAGCTCCAGCCGCTGAGATTCGGGAGGCCGCGCTGGGTGAACCTGCCTGGCCGGGTGTCCCAGTGGGTCTGAGAGTTAAGGCATGTTGACTCAGGCGGTAACACACGCCCTCCGTAAGAACACCCTCCGCTACCGGGTCCCCATGTTGTTATTGACTGTTGGAGGTTCTGTTGATCTTTGTGAGTTTTCACAAATCCATTATGATGCTGTGAAGGTTAAAACTGATTCTGAATTAGAAAAAAACCTGAAAATGAATAGAGTGTCGCTGGTATCAGAGTATGAGAAAATAAAGGATTCCACTTTTGATGACTGAAATAATATTCGAGGACTCAGGCCTCGAATGGGAAGACCATTACCTTTTCCAGGGATGAAACCCAGAAATCCTGAAGACTAAGACAGCTTGACTATGCTGATTCTTTTTATTTTTTTAAAATCTAAATGAAATATCATCATCTGAATTCTCACTGCATACTCTGATCTGGTGGAAAGAAAATTTCAGACTTGCAGAAACCTGGATGTAATTTGATGACAGATAATCTTGATTAAAAAATCAAGTACAGGTTTTTTGCTTCCCAACTCTGCCATTTGCAAATGAAAGTAACAGTGTTGACCACATAGATTTTATACCAATCAATAAAAATGTGAACACTACTAAAAAACAAAAACAAAACAAAACAAAAAACCTTAATTGTACCTTCCTCTCTCCTTTTACTTTTTTCCTTCCAGCATGGTCTCCCTTGTATGCCTTCTAACCTTCTCATTTATATTCTTGTATTTCACTGATAAATAAAACAAAAATATTTGTCTAAATAAATGAGCAACATTTTTCCTTTTCTGCTACGCTATTTCCTGATAAATGATTTTTAAAAGATTTTATTTATTTATTTTTAGAGAGGGAAGGGAGGGAGAAAGAGAGAGAGAAACATCAATGTGCGGTTGCTGGGGGCCATGGCCTGCAACCCAGGCATGTGCCCTGACTGGGAATCGAACCTGCGACACTTTGGTTCGCAGACTGTGCTCAATCCACTGAGCTATGCCAGCCAGGGCTGATAAATGATTTTTATATGACAATATCTAGTCTTTCGGGTATTGCTTAACATACAGTTTTGCAGAAGATTCTTTATACAAGTTAGTGTTTGAGCTGAAGAATAGTCTGACTCTCCAGGTGCCTCCTACACCTGCTGCCCGCACTGAGCCTAAAGCAAGTCTGTGCACCCAAGTGTAGTTTTAAGTACATGAGATTACCACCTCGGTGACAGCAGATTACATGAGAAGTCACATGATCCAAGACCTTACAATCTACAGGCCTCCCATTTTTCTGTGTTGTTTGTTTGTGTGGATGTCATTTCCATGTGCATCCATCCTTTGCCTGATAATGCATGGGGTCAGGCCATGTGAGTATGATTTTATATCATTATGAATGTCATGTTCAGTTAAGAATGTCTGAGACTATAATATTAATAATGCTAGCTACTTAAGGAAACTGTACTGGATTTCTGGTATGAGCCAGAAAAACTCCAAATCAGGAGTAGTCTTTGGATATAAATTGGTGGAACACAGCCAATGTCTCACACACCAAGGGAACTACTGCTCATTTGTAATGCGATGGTGTATGCTACCATATATGCATATGTATATGTGTGCATGTATACATTTCTGATAGCAGTATAGATAATGAACATTTGACATGTATGGAATACATTGTTATGAGCATTGATTGGATTTCATCACAAATAGGGTATTAGAGATTTTTCAATATCCTAAGAAACCTGAGTATCTTTTGTAGCTCTCCCATGTGTAAATTTTGGAGATAAGCCTGAAAAGGTAAGTTGAAAACAAAGTTTGGAGAAGTTTTGAATGGCTAACTGAAGATTTGGGGCTTTGTTCAAACTGCAATAGGAACTCACAGGTTTTTGAATGGAGTGAGTTGATAAGAGCAGAAATAGATTAGAATGCATGATCTGATATATGGGCATGCACACAGAATATTAAACAACATACCAATGAACTAAAGAAGCATGATTCACTAGCCATACTATAAAATATGAGAAAAAGAGAAATTAGGTAAGAAATTAAAAATAAATCTCCTACCACCACACACCATCCCTAAACCAATAGTTTCAATGAATTTCACCATTAAATATAAAACAACAACAAAAACTCAAACAAAAAAAAAAACTGCCCTATGCA